TGAGAAGAATAAGTTTACAGACTATTCGAAAGAGGAAAAAATTCTTGAACGTCTGATAGAAAAATAGGGATCGGTATTTGTCGAATTACTTTTGCATTACATGTTATTTCATTTCAAATTTGAAAAACAATATTAATATCACTTTTATTTTACTATTTTGAACAGCAATATTTAAACTTATAAGCAAAAATTAAAACCTTCGATTTTTTTTTGAAGAAGTTAAAAAGGCTTTTATGATTTCATCATTTCAGTTTTTTATAGATGATATGGAAGCTATAAACGACAAAACAACTAACTTTCCAACTTATATAAATCAACGTAACTACTCACACAAATACATTTCACAATATTATAATCTACAATTATTCGTAGTAATCCTTCAATCAGTGCTGATTTCATCCAACCGAAGCTATATCCGATATTTTTGAAAGAATATTTCTTGAATCTAGCTCTTTTGAAGACAAAATGTAAAATTGTAGGTAAAAGGAAAAACATTAAAGCACATATGAAAAGCTACTGTCGTCTGATAATTCATCTCAGAAATAAAACCAGTCTGTGTCTATCTCTAACCTATCCTTGTCTGATCTACAGAGTTAGTGCTCGTCTGAATCTACCTCTCTCTTTTCTAGTTTATTGAATATTTTTTCTTCTCTTTAATAAATAATAAATACCTAATGATTTATCATGTTCTGTAATAAATGTAATAGATGGTTCCCAAACAACAGCAAGAAATACACTTGGAATTAATAAAATACTTAAAAATAAAACAACTAAAATATATAATGGACTTCGAAAATGTTTCCAAAAAGAATTTCTATTTAATTCATCTAAAATAAAAGATAATGAATAGAATTTTGTTTTTAAGGTATTTTAAAAATTTAACTCTATACTTTCATCTGTTGATTCAAGTTGAACATCAAATTTATATGGTAAATTAAGAAAAGAATATTTCCAATCAAGAAATAAAAATGATGTTATTAACATTAATAAACCAAATGCTAACCAAATATAAGCTAAATGACTTAATTCTAAAATTTCATTATCAATTATGGCCTATTAAAAAAATCTTTTTTTGTATTTATTAAAAGTCAAAACAAATCTTTACTTGAAATATTGAAAACCACATTGTTGAGGAAATTCCAGCTCCTGCTAATAAAGATGCTACAAATGCACGAGATTTTGAAAAATAATTTGATGATGTATAAGTTGTTATGACAACTACAATTCCACTTATTGATGAAAATATACAATGGATATATAATAAATAATCTCGACCTTTAATACCATTCATTTTTAATATTAAAAAAAAACGATTGTTTTTTATTTTTTTTGTATTTTTATTTTTTTACCTGGTTTCAATAATGCTAAAGATAACCATCCAATTATATGAAATATTCTTTGAACAAACAAAGAGAACAAAGCAAGTAATGAAATAAAAGTTTCTAAATGACATAAAAACATTTACATTGATATTAATTTCACAAAACGACAACCAAATTTATCAATAAGAATTCCAATAACAAATGATGGTAAATCAAAGAAAGCAATTCCTAATGTTAATCCATTCTTTCAAAAAATAAAAAATTGACAAATTATATTTATATGAAAAAGATTAGCCTATAAAAATAGTTACTTGATATTGTTGAAGTTGTTCCGAGCATTTATCTGTTGTTGATGATGAACATAAATTTTGATAAATTTTATTTTTTGATAAAACTTTAAAAATGGCAGGAAAACCATAGATTGTTCCACCAAGAAGATTCATTTCTATTAATAACAATAATACACCTAGCCATTTTCGATAAATATTCTTTTCTTTTGAAATATCCATTTTTTTCAATTATCTTTAAAAAAAAAGCTTCATCAATTACTTTTTAACATCTTTCTAAGAGAAAAAAAAACGACAAATGATATTTTTCAGTTGGTATATTAAGCATTTCAGTGTTTTTTTGTCTTTATCATGAAACCAATTATTCAATTTAGATATACAAGTTAATAGATCATTTTACAGTTATATTTGTTGATATTATAATTAATGAAAGATAATTATATTTTTTTTTCTTACGAGCATTGAAAAGATAACGAGGATAAATAGATGGATGGGTTTGACTAATTGAATAAAACAAAAAGAAAATCAATCTTTTAGAATAATTATTTGCTTTCGAATGATCTTCACATTCACCTATGTATAGAATAACAAAACTTGTTAAACTATCTAAACATGTTCATCACGTTTATCATTAAGGAATAGACGACAAAAAAAAATATTCGAATAGTTTCTGAAATGTTAATGGTACTTCAGTACTGTCTCTATCAGAAATGACTAATTACATTCGTAAACAATCGTTAAGAGAAAAAAGGCTTGATCTTTCATTTTTATTATTTAAATCGTTTAGGATAAAATTAATCTAATACTTTCTAAATTGATTTTATATGACAAAGATGAATTCAACTGAATAGTGCCGACCTTCAACCATTTTTATCGAGTTTAAGTTATTCTTGACTGTTTTTCTTTGAAGTGAAGGAATAGAGTTTCGAAAAGATTGCTTTCTCTGAAGATCTTACTGGAATTTTGGCGGGTGTGGGTGTGGGTGTGAGTGGGGCTAAGGCTCAAACGGACAATCATACGCATATGGACATCCGAAGTTACTTCACTGATGTAAAAATAATCCCATGAGATAACTAATGCTTCTCATAAAGCAAAGGATTCTAACTCTTATAGTTATAGCCATAAATCGATAATTTGACAGAAAGCGATGTTTTTCATGAAAAATTTCTAGGTATTGTTGAACATGAGGATTGTGTCGTCGTATGTTATGTCAATGCAAATCATTCGTTACATAAATTCAGTACATCTTGAGTTATACAATGTCAATGGTTTAAATAATTTTCCTTTACAACAAGAAATCGATTATGTTGTAGGATAGTCAGTTTGTGCGAAAATAAGGAATATTTGAACAGATCTTCGAGTGAGAGCGAGAAAATTTTATTTTACACACACCAGTATTTAGACTTGTAAGAACATAAAAGTGTTATTAACTGTTTTTAGCGCTCTTTTTGAATATTTACGTACTAATCCAGCCACAATCCGTAATGCAAGATTTGACATTACAATGATTTGTGGTAGCACATATGCTATTCATTGACGATCGAAAACCACTGTCGATGTTGACCTGCGTGCCACAGCTGTCCAAACAGTTGCTCGATTTACAGGTTTCTATTGGATTAAGATACGAAAACGAAGGCTCCTTTATATATTGGATTATTTTGATTGATGATAAGAAAAAACCAACCTCTGAATCACTTCTGGAGATTGGAATAAAAAAATAGTGACAAAATTATTGTCACATTTTGATAAATAAATTTTTACTAAGTTTTATGTGGGATTAAAATATTTTAGAAGTTATTTACCAATTATCTTACATCCTTTGCACAAAAAGTTGCTTTTTAGAATTGACCGATCTTCTTTGATAGAACTTCATATTCATCTAACAGAGATGTCACGATATGAATACATCGAGGAATCGACAACCACTCAACATAATATCGTGTGGATATCCTCGTCATACTCTCAGACGAAAAATGTCTCCGTAAAACAGACGCAATTTGAGCAGGTTTGGAATATCCGAATATCAGAAACTTCGCAACCGAGGAAACAGAGAAGACATCGTATTAGCCCGCGGGCAAGAGCCAGAAATCTGTTCGGAAGAACTTTTAGACGATGGATACTTCAAATCGTTCGATTACTAGGGGTGGACAAACTCATGTATTGTATAAACATTTGAAATCGAGAAAAACAAAGAATTCTTCATGTTAGATCAATTTCGATTTTTACTGTACTTTATTTCTTTTTTTTGACTGATTAGAAAGCAAACAATATCTTCCATCACATACCACGAGAACAAAGCACGGAAAGACAATCATAAAAGAATTCATATATTGCTCATTATCGCTTGTATTATTTCTGAGAAAAGTAGTTAATGCGCTTGATAAGTTTTGCAAGTTTTCTTTCGGATTGATCCTTAAATCTGATTGACATTTCTTTTCTCCTATTGTTGATTACTATTTGATGTTTTGTGTTGATATTGTCTTCGATAATCTGATTGATGATAGATTGGTCATATTATATAATTCGAATCAGACTTATGACGTTTGTTTTTTTTTTTATACTCCGGTTTCAAGTTTTTTCTTTGATTACTTCGTTCTTGGTGATCATTTCGTCGAGAACTTGTTGTCACTCGTTGTACCACTGCTAAATTGAGTTCAATCATCTGCCATTTTCCAACCACCTTACATAGTTTTTCTTTTAGGAGAATTTCTCATAGAACATCAATGTTGTAAGAAAATACGAGTAAAAACTGATAAAAAATTCGAATCTTATGATCATCAATCGTAAACGGAAGACTTGAACCACATTTGTGATCCGTTTCAAAAGTAAGAGAGAGAAAAACATAATTTGAAATGAGTGTAATGGTGTTGATTTGTTTTCGAAAGTCCATTTTCTTTAATCAAATATTATATAGTACAGTCGAGACCATATTGTTCTTCGATGAAATTCGTTCGTTATTCTCAAACGAAACAAAAGAAAAACATTGCTATTGTTGGATGTTTGATACGAACAGAACTCAAACTGGGTCAGTTTGTATTGATTGATATATGAAATATACACATTGCTTTACATCTTTTTCTATCTTTTCACGTATTGTCCAAGATAAATACCATTACTTATGAATGTCATCGGTTGAAGTTCTGTTCTAATGTCTGTTTGTTGACAAGACATGACAAGACAGGACAGTAAGAAGTATGACGAGAATAAGATCTCCGATTTAAGCTGCCTATAACATGACTGACAGAATAACGACAAAAGAGAAATGTTGATTGACGACAGTAAGTTAGGGAAGAGAATAATAGATCAACGATTCTCTGAGTGTTATTTATCTTTTCTGCGTTAGTATTGTTCTTGTTAGCATTTGTCTTAGTTTGTTTGTTAAGAGAAGACAATGTTGCCAATCGAATATATTGTTGATTCAAGTTCATCAGGGACAAATTTTGATTTTGATGTTTTTGATGAACAATGGTTAAAGTCGAATGAAACCAATCGATTTCTTTGGATCAGTCGAGCGAATTTGAATATAATTCGTCATCGATATGCAACAGATTTGACCGATCTTGAACGAGTTAAAATTCGATGTGACATCAATGATCTTCGCGAAGAAACAATTCGAGTAAGTCAATCGATATATTTATATCAGATTATCTCGTTGTTTTTTGTTATTGCAGGTTGATGTTGAAAAAGGACTTGTAACCATCAAAGCATTGCAACGAAAATTTGATAACAATATTTTTGAAAAACGCATTGAATTGAGTAGTGATGTTGATATACAAACGATGATCTCGTTTATTGATCCACAAAAACACGAGCTCATCATTGCAATGATCGTTGCCAATGTTCAGCATCGACGTGATTCGTTCAGCATGATCAATGTTTCACCACATCGACGTTGTTCACTACAAAAATCATTTTCGAGTGATGCACAAGGATTATCAATATCAGGTAAATAAATATTGATTTTTTCGAATTTTATCTTGCAATCAGGATCGACGAGTGGTGATATAATCATGGAAATTCCACCTGAATTTATTCTCACGGGTAAAACATTACTCATCGAAAAATATTCGGAATTGTTCATCGGTGGTCTTCATTTCTCTCAACCTGAACATCCAATTCGAGTACAACATGGTTTATGTCTTGTCGAGGCATATGAGCCTTCAGAAGAACCATCCCATGAGGATAACTCTCAAGCAGGTGAGAAAATCAATGTTCGAAACAGATAATTTGTTATGTTGTTGTTAATTTTTCTGATTAGTTGTACAAATCAAAATTGAGTTATGCTCGGAATTTCTTCAAAATCAACAGAATATTATTATTCGAGAAAATTCAACGATTCCTATTGGATCATTATCAGGCAATTGGATGGATCTCTATCGAGATCAACGTTCAGCACCGGTCAATGATGTTATCATCGAGATTAATTCAGCTGATTTGATTCGAGGTCGAACAATTCTCATACAGAAAAATAATATATTAATGATCAATCGAGAAGAATTCGATGATGAACAAAAACGTCGTCTATCCAAAAATACATTCACAAAACAGGATCGATTGAACTTGGAAAGTCAGTAATAAATAAATGTCATTTGAGTCATATCGATGATTATTTCTCATTGTGTAGATCTCATGGAAATAACTCTCGAATTGGCTCCCGATTTGTTTTTTACCGGCAGATCGTTCATTATCCGACAGGAATTTGCTACTCCATTGGCCGTCGAATTTCAACAACATCATCATCATCCTCACTCTCTTTTCAGCTCCAATCGACAACAGGTCTGAGAAAAAAAAAATTTCATTTCTCATTGATTTCATGATATTTCGTGTAAAACAAAAATAATCATATCGCTAATTATTGTAGACAAAAAGTGATGATACTGGAACAACAATGTCAATCGAAAAATTCATGACGAAACGCGTTTGGAATCCTTCATTATCATCCGATGGACGTCGATTACAATTTCGTGTGCCTTGTCTCAATGCAATGATGAAAGCTCGACCAGAGCAATATCGAGTGAAGATAGATGAACATCAGCATCATCTACGTGTCGAAATTCATTTAGAACCGAATTATCTTCGATATCGAGAAGTAATCTTGCCTATCTCGGTTCAACTCGATCAACTTGAATGTCATTTCGATGATCAAATGACTTTCCTGAACGTTTCTGTTCCTCTTCAGTGAACATTTTGATCGTTTTATGCAAGCAACATAATCTCAACATTGCCCTGCCTTGTCCTTTTTTTTCTATTAGATTAAAATAGATCTCACAACTCGTGCATGCTCATTATTCATGGATGGGGTGTAGATATTAGCTTCTATTTACACCCTCATTTTAGGTCTATCCACAAGTAATATTTACTAAAGTACACAATAGTGACGCGTCAATAAAACTTAGATCGAAGCTCTACGTGAAATTCAAACCTGATTTTTTTGTTTTCAGTAACGTCTGTCTTTATTGGAGAGAAGGAAAATAATCTATGAACAACACAAGTTTGATTGTAAATGTTTTAAAGCTCGCATTATGTAATATTGGTAGCTGTAAGTAGTTTTTCATGTACATGAGAGATGAAAAAAAAACATTTACTGCGAGAAGTTCTATAGTTTGTGTGAACAAAAAAAATCAAAAATACAGATTGTATACAATGAAAAAAAACACAGACAAAAACTCAGAGTTCAAAAGATACGGTTTCTTTCAATGTGAAAAATTCATTGACGTGTATACCTCGTTTTATTTTTTTTGTACCATGAGTCGATGTATTCGGATAGTATTTATTTAAATAGCGTTTGTTTGCAATAGAAAAAGAAAAGACGAAAGAAAGATAAAGAATGGTATGGGTTCCTCTGTTGTTGTTTCTTTCCAGCTTGAAAAACAAACACTATTGAAAAGTTCATAGACAACTTCGAACAAGAAAGTTACAAGTAGTTGCGATGTTCGTACGAAAAAAAAGAGATTTTTCACATACCGCTATACATAATAATCGATAACATTCTCAATGTAAAATCTCTATGAGATAAAAAATAAATTGAAAATAATTATTGCAAAAGATCGATTCAATCGAAGAATTCTATCAGTAAAACAAAAATAGAATCTATCAAGACAAGATTTTGTACGATTGATCAACAATATGCAATTGATCAAAATCTTTCAACTATTACTTTGGGTACATATCCTCATGTCAAGATAATGAAAAATGATATCTATCTTAATTAAGTTTCAATTGTTTGAAAATAAACTGATCTCATTTCGTTTTTCTCCATGAACAGTACTAGATTATTTCTTAATAGTCATCTCCTCCATGTTTGGAAGAAAACAATGCTTTTGTGTTCAAGAAAGACTTTTTTTGACCAGCTTTTGTCAGTTGAGCATGATTTTGAGTGAAAAGAATAAACTCAAACAATGATTGAATAATCTAGGGAAAGTATTGTTGAAGTAACCCGTTTTTTGCTACTTTGACGTCAGTGCAGCGAATTTGTCACATTGGATTACTCCCAGTCTTTCGTTTCTTACTTCTTTTTAAACTCATGTCTTTCTCTCTCTCGTCATTCGACTGTCAATGTTTGTTATAGAAGCAGTGGGAGAAATAAGGAAAGAACGACATTGTGCACATTTTCGCTTTCTTTGACAAAACCTTTCATCAAAATCAGTGTTATTGCCGACCAATTTTATTTCTCAAAAGTGACTATGAATCGAAATCTTAATTTAGTTAAACAATAAGAACCCTATTCTTTTTGAATTGAAATTGTTGCCCAAGACATGAGATCTGAAAAAATTCTACAGTACAGTTCTTGAATAGAAGCTAATCGAAAAAGATGATATATCATTTTGAACTAGAGATTGTTATGATTGTTTTGTGCACCTACCTCCATCAATGTGCATCGGAAATTTCTGTCTTGCTTTACTCTCTCACTAGTCTCCAGCAACTGTCGAACATGGAATTGGTGTTATTACGTGTTCCGCACAGTTCTACAAGAATTCCTACAAACGCGGAACGGTCCCATTGGTTTCTATTTTGAACCGAAAAATCTCTGTTTTCGCAAACGGTAGAAATAATCGAAATACTACTCAGTATAATCATAGTCTCACTCTCACTATGGGTAACTCCGGATGTCAGGACTAGGAAAATTCCAGAATGTTTATTTTTAACCTGTTATCCAGAAAGTGATCATCTCTTATCTGATTTCCCTTCCTCAACTCTGTACACGTGACATTATCCATTCTTAGGAGCATGAGATTAGCAAAACCAATATACAACTCAGGGCTTTATAAAAAAGATAGTTTTGCTATTTTGCTGCAGATAAGCATGATATTTTCTTTATTGATCCGGCAAGGGAAAACTTCTCAAACGAAAGTGCGGTGGTGTATTTTTAGGGTTGTGACAAAATAATTCTTCATCGATTTCAATAGAAGAATTCAAATGTGCAGTTTTTACGATATATTTTGTTCCAGTTACGACTTTTCATGTCAAAAAGGGGTGCTAATCGACGTGAGTGTTATGTAGATCCTAATCGAGACATCGAAAAAGAAGTTCAAAAATCAACTGAACTGAATACTGGGAAAGTGAGATCTATACACCGAATGAACATGATGATGAAGTTGAGAAAGGAATACAAATACAAGAATACTTTTATACAAAGAAAAAAAAATCAAGACTGTAAGGTCTTGTTGCCAATCGATGGCTATCAAGATATGTCAGTCAGTTCACTCGAAGACGCTATTGTTCCATTACAAAGCTTTCTACCTGACATCCAAGAAAAAGCTTATAGAGCTAAAATGAGTTTTACAATCGACGAAGTGACACAGAAACAATTGAAATTGACGCTAGAAGAATTAGCTGCTATTTACTTGTATACGATGCGGTGGGAAAATGGTACACATAACGTTTAAGTGCCTCAGAGGAAAAACGATTGCAGAATATTCCGTTTTTTTCAAATGAGAAAAAACTATTTCTATTGCCAGGAACTTAACTTCATGCTATTGGAAAAATTAAACAAGAACCCAATCTTCACATTATTCCATTGAAAGAAAACATTCCTATACCACCTTACTTACCGATACCATCGACAGATAAATAAATCAATCTCGTAATCGATTTTTGATCACAATTCATATTTTCAAGGAGCTCCGTTTTAAAAGTAGCAGTATGTTTTTAGCAGATTTATTACTACAAATATCAGATCATCCATGATAATGTGGGTTATATTGAAAAAGAATCAACTTTTAATCGAATTATTTTTTTTTTCATTGTATCTTGTTTTAGTAGCAGAAGTGCATTAATACTATTGTTTCGGTGATGAAAATTGAAAAGATGATCCGAATGCATAGCAAACATCCTTTTTTCAGTGGTCGTTTTTTTTTATTCTAAGAAACGAGTTGTTTAACCTTATATACTGCAAGAATTTTCGGTTTTTAGTCGGATATCAATACGTTCCGACTTGTACCAATCAAGTCAGGTAAATGCACTGATGAGTGTCACTCGAATTATTAAACTGTTACTTCTGTGTTATCGTAGTGTAGAAAAAGATTCTCATAACAGTTCTGGTTCTTCTCATTCTCTACATTGTTACATTTGCTATACTCTTACCTAATGTACTGATCAACAGAAGCCAGTATAAAATATTTTGAATTTTTCTCTACGCACTATTTTCTCCTCTAGATACAGCTTTGATAAGAACAACCCGCCCTCCACAAAGTAAGAAGTGTTTCTTTTTTTTGGCGAAGTTTGATAGAAACAAAAAAAACTGTGCTCTTCATTTTATTCAGTCTACGGCAATAGCACGGCTATTTATCATTTTTATGATGATTCACATTTGATGCCATTTCCTTCAAGACCAGGTGAAGAAAGATCACAATATTGGTGTAAAATATCTGGCGAACATTTGCTACTGAAAAATTCCTCTGTCGAATCGAACATTCACGTCACTGAACAGTTCTGGTACATCGATCAAGTATGTGGAAGATATTTTTGTATCGAATTCTTATCTTCTATTGAAAATTATTTTCCGATTCATCGAAAGTTTTCTTTGGACTAATGATTATTTTTAATTTTTAATTTCATTCTAAGACACTTCTTCTAGAGAAAAGCTTTGCATGTTGAATGAAAATGAGAAAAATTGCCATAGTTCAAGTGAGTCATTTTCTATTGCATTAGACTTTTATGAAAGTTTTCTCTTCTTAAGGTATAACGATAGTCGAAACAAATTGAGGTCAATGGATCGATATCATTCACAAAAATAACGGCATGCGATTTCAGATACGTTAACATTCGATAGTATGGTATCCGAATTTGAAACTGAAATTCATTCTACTTTAACTGTGTTTTCTTTTAGTCGTCATTTTATGACAGCGTCGTTCATCTACATTACAGTTTTATCTATGTGTCGGAAGGTTTATGCATGATTCCTAGTTATAAATGTCTACCGGAAGCTGTGGGAACAGATAGTCGTCAAGAACGACTATCTAGAAGTCATCAGTTGAACATTAGTGAAGATATCAAACAATCATGCCATCGATGCGTCAAAGCCGCCATCAATATAGCTGAGGCATTAAACATGATTTATGATCCGACCCTGATTG